TGGGTGGAGGGGAGAAGGGAGATCAAAAGACCTATAAATATCTGTCAAACTTTAAAATGCAAATCCCTTGCCTGTGTCCCTGTTGGGACCAACTCTTCCGTTATCACCTTTCTGGGAAGAGCTAGAGAGAAAGAAAGATTAGCATAGTCTTTCCCTTCAATGCAGTGTTTTTGGTTTGGTTTGGTGTGATTTTGTGGCCAAGCCTGAATATGCCATAAATGTTTTCATTCAACCAGACCTGGAAACGTGAGTAGAGAGTTAAGACACTATTGGCATATCGTGTCATAAAATCTTAATAGCATGTGGTTTGCTTTGTGGATAGACCATGAGTTTCTTAAGGGAACTGTCTAAGCCTTACTATAGCCCCTGCAATTTACATGAGACCCTGCAATTTACTTGGCATAGAGAGCCTGCTTTTTGAATAAATGTATGGACAAAGGCATGGATGGATAGATAGATGGATGGATGTTAATTGTGAGCATAGTAAGTCATCTTCACTAGCTAGTGACCGAGTTCTCAGGGACCTCCTTGCTCTTTACTGGGAGCCACAATTGGAGGTGGGGTCCCTTCTGAGGGGCATTCCTCATGAGGAGCAGCTGTGGCCCTCTAAGAAACTCTTATATGGCTTCTGCCACCCCTACCTGAGCATATACAATGACCAGTATCTGACACTCACTGTGTGCCAGGTCCTGGTCCACCCTCCCTCCCCACCCCAAGCCCAAGTTAAAATCTAAAAACCTCACCCTTTTCTTCCTTTCCTAGTCCCTTGTTGGCCTTGTTTTTTCATAAAATTATACTTGTATGTAATGGGTGGGTTACTTTCCAGACAAAAGGGTCTATTTAACAAATGTTGCTAGTCTGCAATGCCCTCAAATACTTGTCATTATTACTCATTCTTGAGTAAATTCACCAGATTTTAAGTCTTACCCAAGAACTGGATAGTCTTCCCTCCCCTTCTCTAAAGTGCACCCACCATTCAAGCCTCCTAGGAAGTCTCTAAGGACCACCTGGGGGCTCACCGACCACTCTTCTGCATTCCGATGCCCTCAGATGCCACTCCCTTCACCCAGCACTTAGTTGTATTATTTATCTCAAGTGCAAATGAGTCTAGTTTCACAAATAAGTGATAAAGATCTTGAAGGGCAAGACTAGATATTACTCCCTTGTACATTGTGCCATGCCTAGCCCAGGACTGGATCCATCTTACGAATTCAATAAAAAATTGTGGCATGTTGGTGGTCAAATGTGGGTTTTGGCATTAGGCTGATCTGGGTTCAAAGCTTAGCTTCATTCATTCACTCATCCAATACGGATGGATTAAGTGTGTGCTACGTGTTACGCATGGTTAAAAGCTCAGGGGATATGACAAAGAACAAGAAGATTCTTCTCATGTTGTTACTGTAGTGACAAGAGGCAAACAAATCTAATAATTTGTGAAGAGAATAACTCCAGATAAGAGGCGAAAGCAGAGGCTAGGGAGTCAGAGTAGGGAGGTGGTGACATAGCATCGCCACAAAAGTACTCGCTGAATGGCAATAAGGAGCTTACTACCCAAAATCTGTGAGAAATTCAGGCAGATGGAACAGTAAGTTCAGGAGCCAATATGTGGAGTGAGCTTGGTGTGTTGAAGGAAATGAAATACAGATAGCACCACTGCAGTAAGATGAGGTGGGGGAAGAATGCAGAGATGAGGTTAGGGAGACAGGCAAGGCTCTGTCACGGGGTACCCCGCAGGCTCTGTCAAAGGCTTTGGGATTTACACCAGGTGTGATGGGAAGCTTCTGCATGGAAGAAGCAGGTGGTGTCAGAGTGTGGTTTGCATTTTCTATAGATTTGTCTGTCTGGCTGGTGTGTGCACTACGAAGGGCACGAGTGCTTTGAAGCAGGGAGATCAATTAGAAGGTGCTTTTAGTAGTTCCTGCAAGAGGCAATGATACTTGTCCTTTGGAGGTGGCAATACAACTGGGAGATGTGAGTACCAACTGTGTGGCCACAACACTTCATGGTGTTGCTTTCAAGATTAGTAAAAAATGTAATTAACTGATTATAACGGGCTCAGCCCTTGCAGACACTGTGCAAAGGTGATTCAAGTCAGAAATAAGTGCCAAAAAGGAGACACTCTTAATGGATGCCCCACTGAGAACTCCCAGATGATCTCGTCCTGGGACATCTGGCTCTAGTGGCTGGAGCTTTGAAGGACAGAGATGAACCTTCTGGGAGCTTTGGTTCCCTAGATGCCCTCGCCTCTCACTCCTTCTTCACACACTCAAATGCCCAGCCTTCCCATGTAACTTTTATGATCATTTCTTGCTTTTCTGGGACGATGAACTACTTTTAGTGGCCTGTTTTCCAGAAATCAGATTAGGAGAGGTCAATGCATCTCTCTGACAGGTGGTTTCTTAGAAGTGCCATAAACTTAGATAAATGTGGAATATACAGAAGCCTTAATTTTTGCCAAAGAAGCTGTGGAGTTAGACTCCTAGTTCCTGCTGCTTATGTTGACCTTGGATAAGTTCCTTAGCTTCTCTTAGCCTCATATATAAATAGGGAATTAAAGGGCCTGCCTTTCAGAGTTTCTGTGGAGCAAATGTGAAGAATCTGAAAAACTAGGAAGTGGGTGGGAATGATAGTAAACATTTAATGTGTTCTTTCTCTTCTCCCAAGATTCACTGTTTTGCACGACAGACTTTTGAAACTGAACCTACTCAAACTCTTTACTGTCCAATATGCTTTGTCTCTCTTTTTTTCATATTAAACTAGAGACCATTACCTTGTCAAAAATTATACAGGTTATAATACAACACATTTTAAGGACATCGCCTGTGGTTCATCAGTGGATTTGGCAAATCAAAATCAGTTATGTTAAATGTATACATTAATGTATGTCTCTCCAAAGGCTGTTTATCCTCAACATGTAAATGAGAGTGAAGGAGGGAGGAAGTATCATTCCCACCTATGTCTGAGGAGAGGCACACAGAAGCTGGGAACGTTTGCCCAAGCTAGCCCGTCTGTCAGAACTCGGACAATTACTCAGACCATTGCCTCCCACGCTAAAGAGGGTCCTTTGGTCTGTTTCACAGGATGTAGACCTGGTTGTATGGAGTCCTTTGACACCTCTCATAGAACTATCACAGCTGTGAAGTCATGGGGCCTTCACAGGGCCTGGACTAGAGATGTCTGGGTTTGGAAAACCCTATAAAATAAGCCTTCTGGCACCTGGCATTCACAGAGTCGGCATTCTCAGTTTGATAACAATGTAAAATATTTTAGCAGTAATAATTACTTTGGAGCAGCTATTGAAACCACAATGCTTTCAAACAAAACAAAAAGGCAAAGAATCTGTAATCTACCTTTACATGAACGTTGAATAAATCACTCATTCTCATTTTCAGATTCAGAGGACAGCGCTTCCTGACTTCACTCACAGCAGAAAGGTGGGTATCTGTTGAGCAGTAGGTGAACGGATTTAAGTTATGGCGATGCAAACAGTATTGAATTCATTAGCTTTCTCATCAGAGAATTCTAAATACACAGGCAGATTCTGCCATTTGGGGAGGTCAACATTTTGTTTTATGGGTTCTTGGCACAGAATAATGCTGAGGAAGCTTGGACACTTAATCCCTATTAAAGTTTTGTTTTGGTGCTTACAAAAGAATTCTTCCAAAAATTAGCAAAATATTCAGTCATTCTCACCACAGAAGAGTCTGCCTGCTTTGCTGATGACCCTCTCCTCCATTGCCAAACAGGCAATTTATTGAATTTATCTGGCTTGGGGATAAATAATCCATTCTGGCAATCAAGGTCCCACTTTTTTTGACTATTACTGGGGCTGACTGCAGCGTGTCATTTTAAAGGCAATGTGGCAAGTCCTTTAAAGGGGCTAATGCAAGCTGTTAGCTGAGCCTGATAAAAGGTTTTCCTGGCTAAGAAGGTGATAAATGTTGCCACGTTAATCTGCAGATGAAAGGAGGCTGCCTTCAGTGATATTATTTAAGCTGTTTTACCCTAAGTGCTACCAGTATAACAGGAATAGTGAGTGGTTGATTTAGCCCTTTCACCTTCAGAAAGCAAGGCATCTCACCATAGCATCAAGTGACAAAAGGGGACGAGTGATCAAGCTGATGGAGGGAACCATCCAACTGGACTTGATTTTTCTCCATGGAGAATGGGAGAACTAAGACCCCCAAATCCACCACCAGGCAATCAACACCCACTCAATGAAGGCTTTCTGTGCCAGACCCTCTGCTAGGGGCTACAGATTCAGAAATACAAGATGCTCACAGCCTGGTGCCTGAGGCAAAATGCAAATCACTCAACACAAAACTATTAACAGATATTTTAGAAGTCCATAGGAAAGAGAAGGGATTCATAAGGAGGTATATAAACCTTTCTTAGAGAAGATCATGTTTATGCTGAACATTAGGAAACCTGAGTTGGTCCTTAACAGAGGAAGAGGAGTTTGTCTAGCTAACAAGGAAGGAGCAGGCATTTGAGGGAGAAATTCATGAGCAAAGGCATGAACATCTGCTCAGGGGCTAACAAGTGACCTTTGATAGCTAGAGCCAAGGCTCATGGCTGTGATTCTATGAAGCTGAAGCTGGAGAGACGTTTTGGGGCGAGGCTGCCCAGCCTTGTGAACCATGCTGGCGTTCAGGGACCACATTTGCGAGGAATGTGCACCCCTGCCCCCTGGCAACCAGGAGTCTACTTTCTGTTTCTACAGATTATAGACTTGCCTATTTGGACCATTTCATATAAACGGAATCATACATGTGGCCTTTTGTGACTGGCCTCTTTCACTTAGCATGTTTTCAAGGTTCACCACATTGTAACATTTATTAGTCCTTCATTTCTTTTTATTGCCAATTGCATGGAGAGACCATATTTTGGTATTTTACTGACTTTTAAGTTGTCTTATTATTACTGAACTCTAAGAGTTCTTTATACAAGTCCTTCTTAATAGAAATCCTTTCTCACATTTACATTTGTAAATATTTTTTCCTATTTTGTGGGTTATCTCATTTTTTTTATGGTGTCCCCTGAAACACAAAGTTTTTAGTTTTTATGGAATACATTTTTTTCTTGTTGTCTGAGCTTTCGGTGCCATATCAAAGAAATCATTTCCTAACCCAAAATCACAAAGATTTATGCCTATGTTTTAATTTAAGAGTTTTACAGCTTTAGCTCTCATATTTAGGTTTTTGATCCATTTGAAGTACTTTTGTATATTGCATAAGGTAGGGATGAAACTTCATTCTTTTGCATGTGGCTATCCAGTTGTACCAGTAGCATCTGCTGGTACATAAACTGTCTTGGCACTGTGGTTGAAAATCAAATGAACATAAATGTGAGGGTTTATTTCTAGACCCTAATTCTATCCCACTGACACACACACACACACGGCTACCTTCATACCATGACAATAAATTCTTCATTAATGTACTTTGTAGTAAGTTTTGAAATCAGAATCGAGAAGGGCAAGTCCTCCCATTTCTCTTTTCCAAGATTGCTTTGCCTAGTCTGAGTTCAGTAAATTTCCATGTGAATTTTAGAATCAGCTTGTCAATTTCTGCAAAGAAATCAGCTGTAATTGATGGGGACTGCATTGAGTCTATGTTAGTTTGCCATCTTAATATCAAGTCTTCTGATCCATGAACATGAATGTCTTTCCATCTATTTGAGGTTTTAAAATTTTTCATTCAACACTTTTGTGGTTTTTAGAGTACACATTTTGTACTTCTTTTGTTAAATTTTTATTCCAACATACTTTATGCCTTTTAGTGCTCTGGTAAGCAGTATTTTCTTCATTTAGTATTACTCACTGACGATGTATAAAACTACAATTGATGTTTGTACATTGATCTTATATCCTGCAACCTTGGTGAACTCAGTTATCAGTTCTAGTAGTTTTTAGTGGATTCCTTAGAATCTTGTATATACAAAATCTTGTCACCTGCAAATAGTAATAGTTTTACTTTTTCCTTTCCAATCTGATTGCCTCAAGACTTTCTTAATGATATATGAATACACAACTTAATATTTGGAGATGTTACACTCAATATTATATGGATTCATTTTTAAAACAAAAGGGAAAGAAAAAAGTGCTATAGGAGAAAATGAAAATGGAAAAAATCCCAACAAATTAAGAGGAAAGATATCTGATTCTCCTGTCATTAATTAGTGATCCTGAGCAAATTTCTAATTCTATTCTGATTACACACTGTATTTTTTCAAATCTTTTTCCATTTAGCACCCCTGCTAACTTCTGGGGATATGTAAAACAGCAGCTTTCCTTAGTTTATGCAACATGACAGCCATGGCTTTTACTATGTATACTGAGCATCTTCTTCTTTTTCCATTCTTTCCCTCAGAAGAGAGAATCGAGTTACCAAAGCTGAAGGGCATCCTAAAAGTATCTTCAGATGGAAAGAAAATATAACTCTCATAAAAGGCACAACAGAAGACATTGCAAGATTACAGGCAATTATAAAGAGTTATCTTCTTGGGAACAAGCTGAAATATAATAGAGGCTTGTGCAAGAAATAAGTAAAAATGAGCAGACACATGAAGCATCTACTCTAGTACTATATTAACACTTTAAAGCTATGACTAAAGAATAGTCAATAAAGATATAAAAAATGGCAAGAGTGTGTTTTAAATATATACATTATATACAGTTTTCACCACAATGATTATCTTTTAAAACGAAAGTCTTAGGTAGCTTTTTAAAATTATAATTTTGATTAAAATGGTAAAAGTACCTCCCGACATATAGAACCACATTACATTTTTCTGCCAAACATTAACTAGACACCTTCCCTCTGCCTCTGCTAATGCTGATGGTACTAAAATATTAAGTTACACTTAAACATTTTTACTTTCATTTCAAGCGTTTTGGAACCTCAGTTTTAATCTCTGACTTAAAGGAGGAGGGCTATCCAAACAAGTACCAGAGTCATTTTTGTCCTTACGACACTGTAGCAAACTCAGAGAGCCTTTGCTTGCATCTGGGAAATAGCTGTCTTCATTTCCAGCTGTTTTAGAAGCCTGGACATACTGTTCAGTTTCTTTAATATGAATCTTAGGGTTACTCAATTTGTTGGCATCATTTTTCTTGAATTGGTCTGGTTCGTGCTTCTGAAAACGCTGCTTCACTTTTTCAGTTGCTTTCTTAGCTTTCCCAAACACTGGGACACTTTCTTCATCGGAGGTGTATCTGTCACGGCAAACACTTTTCTTCATTACAATCTTCTGAGTGGTTTGCAAATCAACTTTTCTACTCTGATGTAAAGAAGTATTTGGAGGCTTGACTCTAACATTAGAGGTGTTTACCATCATGTTTTTGACAGAGGAAGGTATAGAAGTATTCACTTTACAGTTTTCTTGAAACAGCTGGTCTCCTTTTACAACTTTAGAGTCCCTAGAATCATTCTGCAAATAAGTTCCTAGAAGATCCTTTGAAAAATGTGATGGACAATCAGAACTACTGTTAGCCTTACAAGGTTCTTTTACTGTGAGTAGGGATAGAGTTTTCAGGTCTACATCCAGTTGTACATTATCCTGAGGACATGATGATTTTATAAGTATTCGTTCTTTTAAAGGCAAATCCTGCAGATGTAAATCAGTAAAGCCAGAAAGTTGGTGTTCTTCAGGATTAGTCTTCTGAAGATCCCAGTGCAACACTTTATTAATGTTTGTGGTGCACCATTCTGAGTCATATGACAATTGTCCTGGGATATGTTTAAAGCCATGAGGGATGGCTGTTTCAAGTTCTGATTTTAAACCACGAGAGCAAGTGTTCCTTGAAATAGCTGGAGAATTACTAAAAGAAGTTCCTTCCCAATCAATGGTGCTCAAGTGTAAATCAGTAATTGCTGAGACATTATGAGATGAGATATTTGGTTGACTAGGTTCTGAAATTAGAGTTTTACCAACAGCTTTAATTTGCTGCATAGCCAAAGGTTTTGAAGATATTAATTGTTCTTGTGTATTCAAATAGAGAGCATCTTTAGATAAAAGCAAGCTATTCAATGATGCAGAAATAGATTCCTGGGGTAATGCAGAATCAGGGAAAGTTTCCAAATTTAACTGGGAATTCTGTTTAGAAGAGACTTCACATGTGGGTTTTAAAGTTATGAGTGACTGAAAACTCGTGTCATCTGTTTGTGGCAAATTGTTTTCTTTAGGCTTAGTTTTCATGCCTGAAAAGAAAAAATAATACAATACAATTAAAACCTGTTTTTTTTTTTTTACTTAACTTGAATAAACAAATAAACTAAACAGTTCAGATTGAAATCTATATAAGCAAGCTTTGCATTTTTGTTTCAGTGCATTCCTGGAAACTGTGTTGTAAGTAATTATAACAAAATAATTATTAACAACATATTACAAAATATTTTCTTCTGGAAACAATGTTATGATCGAATTATTTTCCTTACCAAGTTCTGGGAAATAAAGAAAATGTATTTATAATCCAAAATATGTTATATATACTAGTTGTTCAATAAGTGGTTGGTATGATTACTATTATTAACATTTGGTTAAGTTATCAGACACAGACAAGAATGGTTTACTCTTGGCTTTTCAGCTTTAAAAGAAAGTACGTCTACACAAAGAAGCATGCTTACAAGCCTTACTCTTACATAGAACTTGCAGCAAAATTTAGACAATACAGACTCAAATATAACAGACAGTTCTTCAACAACAACAGCTGTGTATGGTATCAAAGGAGATACTTACTTTTCTTTTTCTTCTCTTTAATTTCTAACTTTTGTTTTTGGTAAACAGCAACAATCTCTGGAAAAGCTGCTTCAAATAGTGATTCTTCTTCTATTGTTTGTAGAACTAATTCTCCATGTTTATCTTCTATAGCATAATGTTCTAAAAGATTAAAAATACAGTAAAATAGCCTTAATTACAGATTTGAAAAATTCAATTTTCCAGGTAACTAAGTTTACCAGGTAAACTAAGTCATCCACAAATGGATGATTTATTGCAAATCTTGCTTTACAACATCTCTATTCTAATAATCTGTTAATTCCGGTACAAAATTTTCTTCTGCCTGACAAGAGCTGAAAGGAGATCACTCTTAAATTAGAACTTTAAATCCCCTTGCCTCAGAGCTAGTAGGAGCAGCTTAGAGGGTAAATGCCTTTGTTCAGATAAGGTTAGTTAGCTTCAGTTTAGTATAATAAGTGTTACAATTCCAGATAAAGAAAGGGAATAGACAGTTGACTAAAACTTCAATATTAACTTTCTGTAGTGGTGGCTTCTAAAAAGAACAGGATTGAAAGGGTCATCAAAAATATTACAGTAGTTCACGTCCCTTTACCCTCAATGGATCCCTGAAACCACGAACAATATCGAATCCCATACATACTAGTTTTTTCCCTATACATACAAACTGATGGTAAAGTTTAGTTTATAAGCAGGCACAGTAGGAGATTAACAATAGCTAATAATAAAATAGAACAATTATAACAATATATTATAATTAAAGTTATGTGAATGTGGTCCCTTTCTCTCTCAAAATATCTTATTGTAGTCTACTCACTTTTCAACTCAAAGGAAGCACTCTAAAGCTTCTCTTTGGTATGTCCAAATTGCCAGCATTACTAGTCTTGTGCTTTCAGGCCATTATTAAGTAAAATAAATGTTACTGCAATACTGTGACAGTCAATCTGATGACTGAGATGGCTAGTAAGTGACTAACGGGTGGGTTGCATATACAGCATGGATACGCTGGACAAAGGGATAGAGCAGGAAATCATGAGATTTTATCAAAAAGGTACATAATTTAAAACTTATGTACCTTTAAATATTTTTGAACCGTGACTGACTGCTGGTAACTAAAACCACGTTAAATGCAACCCCTGATAAGGGGTTTCTACTATACTCTCCTGAAGTTAAACTACTCTCCCTAAGTTATCAACCTCTTGAAGATATATCTAGGCTTAGTGGACTCACAAGCTGCTGATAGATAAAAAATGAGAGTGTTTATCACAAAAATTCACAATAAGATATATAAGCAATAGACTAGATTTTTGCATTTATCCTAAATGAGGGCAAAAGTACATGAGAAGCCAATTTCTAATGAAAATATTAGTTGATGAGTTTAAAGTAGAAACAATAGAAACAGGTGAATTTAAAGTGTTTCTCAGTTAAACTAGCTTGGGGTACATTTTCTCCCTTAAAGGACAGCTCCCACAAGGGTAAGGGAAAGTGGGCACCCAACCCTCAGTTCTAGACACATATGCACAGCCACAATGGGTTAATGCCACCTTCTTTCCTGAAAATAGACTACAGGTGGTGGGACTGTTCCTAAACAGTTTTCAAAATCCTTCACCTTCCTATTTTCCTATTATTGCTTAGAATGGTTTATCTAATTCTTTATTAATTTCATTCTTCAAAGTTACCTACAACTTAAACCTTCATTGACAAATCTACTCTCTCACTCATCCACCTATAATCACACAATATAATCTCAATGCCAAATAGAAGTGAAACTGGGATTAGTTTCTATTTAAATAATCTGTGCTTTTCTCAGATTGGTTTTGGTGCTAATCAGAGTTCACTGTATTCCGTCTTTAGCAAAAATAAGAGTAAGACAACTATAAATTTCCATGAAAACTAAAGAGTAAGAAAAGGAGAGGAAGGGAACCCCAGGTGCCATTCACCAACCTTGATTTCTTTAGAACCAGCTACACAATGAAATCCAATGAGCAGACCATTTGTAGTAGTATTTTCTTGAGAAATATCAAGCCAAACTATTCTCATATTATTTTTTAAAACATTAAGTACAAAAGAAGTGTCAATTTAGGACATTAAAATAAAATTATTTAAAGTTTTTCATCTTTACTATTAGTCAAAGCCTATTTAAATAGCACAGGGAAACTATGAAATTAAACCTGGGTGTAGGTTTCTTCTTTATTTTTTATGTACATAGATATGTTTTACATATGTGCAAATATCTGCTAAACATATTTGGTTAAATGTTATAAATTTTGCTTAAATTGAATACATACCAGGCTTTTCCCATTCTATTTCAAAGCAATGAACTCCATTTCTGATCCGGTTTTTAACAATTCTGAAAAACAAATTTATCTAATATGGTCCAATTGCATGAGTTATTTGGAAGTTTTCAATTTCTAGATTGAATAATTAAATTTACATTGATTTTTATAATATTTAAAAAATACTGTAAAGAATTGCCACGTAGTTATTCTTTGACTAATTTATTCAAAAGATAACTTTATTGTTGGTGTATAGCGCTTATAATTATTAGAGCCTATGTGACTCTTCCTTTATTACTCAGTGTACTTTCCAGCTAACTTTTGTTTTAAAGTCTATTTTGTTCCTGTTAATTTTGCTACATCATCTTGGTAAAAATTTGCCTGGTAAATCTTTTAAATCTCTTTATTTTTTAACTTTGTATAGTTATATCCCGCACATGCCCTCTAAGCAGAATACTGCAGAATTTTGTTTACTCATCCAGCGTCTTTTAAAGATGAGGTTAATCCACTTACAATGATTGCGATTACTGACGTAGTAGAACACATTCCTATTTCTTATTTTTAATTTCCTGTTACCAAGTGTTTTCTTTGCTACTTCCCCCTTCCTATATTCTTTTGGTTTGATAGTTTCGTGGTTTTTTTAACCCTCACCCGAGGATATGTTTATTGATTTTAGAGAGAGAGGAAGGGGGGAGAGAAACATTGATGTGAGAGAGACACATCAATTGGTTACGCCCGTATATGCCCTGACCAGAATCAAACCAGCAACCTTTTGGTGTACGGCATGCTCCAACCAACTGAGCCACCTGGCCGAGGCTTGGTTTGATAGTTTTATTTTCCCGTTTTAGTATTGGTTTGGAAGATACTGTACTTCTAATGTTTCAGTGATTACCCTTATAGGTCTACATGCATACTCTGGAAGTTTTAGTTTATGATACTACTGTAATCATCAAGCATTACACAGATATTTCTATACACATTTCTCTGGTTAGTTATTACATTAGCTGTCTTATCAGTTTTATGCTGACCACTATTCTTGTTATCTACATCTTCCCTCTGGGTTCCATTTCTTCTTGCCAAGTGAAGTGCATCCTTTAACAGTGCTTCTAACGAGGACCTGTGAGTAGTAAGCTCTCAGTCTGCATGTCTGAAAATGCCTCACCAACCAGGGAATAATGTCTTAATGATGTCTAGGCTGCCACTTACTTTCTACTCAAAGCACTGAAATATTGTTCCATCATCTTCGGCACCTATTGCTGTTATTAAAAATGTGTGCTACCTGATTGTCTTTTCTTTGCAGTTTTTTTTTTTTCTTTGATACTTTCCCCCAAACTTTTTATTTTGAAAGTTTCAAACCTTTAGAAAAGTTGCAAGAATACTATAAAGATCACTCACATACCCTTCACTGAGATTCACCAATTCTTGGGTCAGTCCCTCTATTCACTTTACATTGTTTTTCCTTTTCTGGTCCACTGAAGTAGTTATCTGATTAAGCTTGGCTAAATTTTTTTATAGTATTTATTACTTTTAATAATCTAATATTACTAGATGTTTGAAACAGAAATGTATGTCAAAGCATGAACTTACTACATTATTTTGACTATAAGCCTGATTAAGCTTTTATTATTCCAGTAGACCTTTCCTCCATCATTATAAAGATATTAAGAAGAAAATTTTAGATAAGCTATGCAAATACAAACACAGAAACTTCTTCATACAATTAATTCATACCGAACTGGCTGTAGCTGATTAGAGTTCCTTCTACCAAGTTTTCTTTCTATCATGTCATAGTGGGTCAGAAGTACCAACAATTTCTCACATGCATAGTGATTGGGCCACTCCATTTTTTCAAGAGTAAATCTCTGTAAATAAAAATAAAACAAGGTTTTCTTATCCTTGGAGACAAACAGCACTCAAATGATATCATTTTTTCCTTCAGAATTAACATTAGTTAAGATAATATCCCTGAGAGAACAATGAGCCTCCTAAGGAGGTAATACCGCATAATAATTGTGAGGGCTCTCCATTTGAATGCCAACATATTTCCCAGGGTAAAATACTTAACCTCTCTAAGCTTCAGGTTTTCCATCTGTAAAATATAACCCAGCTCAGAGATTATTAAGTGATATTACATGTAATGTGTTAAATATAATAGCAAATTTTAAATGTTCAACAAATGTTCGTTACCATTATTATTTCTATTGTTGGCAGGAATAAGCAATAAGTCGTTATAATTTACTGAGCCATTCTGTTTCCCTAGTCACTGTATTAAGGATTAATATAAATAATCTCACTTAATGCTCATAGAGACTTCATGAGATAAGTAATATTATTTCTATTTTGAGGATAACACATATCCAGTGTCACACAGTAAATGATAGACTATACAAATTTACATTTAGGTAACTGATTACAAATCACAATGCCCTTGTAAACCACACTACATTTCATAACTATATATTAATCCTAACATCCTCTGGTCATTAGCCCCTCTCCCAACATACCCCTGAACACAATCTATCTGCACAGCATTAACTGTAATTTGTCTTACGGTCTGCAAAGTATGGTTACTATGTAGCAAAGAAATTAAGACTAGAAATAAATGTTGGAAAATGCATGGGCAGCCAAGAGAGGTTTGTTTTAAATCTCCTCTCAGATCAAAGTAATTATCTCTTATCTTCCTACTATCCAACTTCATATTGTAAAGAATTTATTTTCAGATACCTGAAACAATAATAAGTCGGGTCTTTGGTAGTTGATGGCCTTCGCCAATTTTTCTTTGTTCAAAAGGAATTCCTGAATAACCTAGTGAGAGAGAAGAAAAGAGGAGCTGAGACTTCAATCTTTTTAAAAAGCTTCTAAAATAAACGCACTTGAATTATTAATTACCTCGTGGAATGGGAATCCCTCACAACTGCAAGCTTTTCTGAAAATAAATTATATACATGTTATTAATACAACTGCGCTCTAAAACCATCTCACCCAGTCTCCTCTCATTTAATAAAAAAAGTTCTTTATAGTACTTCAGTCATCAAGTTTACTTTGAATAACTATTAAATTACTATCTCTTCAGATGGCCTAATTTTTTAACAGAATCAAGAAAAGGATTTTGTGAAATGTTACTAATTTAGACATGCAGGGATGTTATATGAAAATAATTCAACCACAGGTGTATAAAATAGGTCATGCCAGAAAAGAATGAGTTAAAAAACAAACTTACTTCTTAATACTGTTCTCTATTGCAGCCAGCTGCCTATCAGTCTCTGTTCGGTGCCACTCACGGGGACAACAGTATTCATAATCATGTGGTTCACAATATCCATCAGTTTGACATAACTTACATCCATTACTTTCGTGATCTTCAGATGAACCTTTAGGGAGATACAAAAAAGTATGACTTTTCATTGCTTTTTGGAATTATCTTCTACATATACTTTTTTTCTTGCCCTTATACAAATTTTCAAAAACGAATACTGCCTAGCATAGTGCCTAGCTTATAGAAGGGTTTCAATACATTTAGGTTGAATAGAGTAATACGCACTATAGAAATTCTAAGGTAAAGTATATCCTGAGCTATTACTACCACATGACACTTTTTTGTTTCTGTAAATTCTTCCTCTATCTGAAAGTGTTAATTTGTAACTTGAAATTATACATTCATAATAATCAACAATGAAAAACTTTGTGGTTAATTTGAGAGCTAAATGCAAGAAAAGTAGGCTATAATTATTAGTATTAAAAATGATTATTTATTGCCCTAGCTGGAGTGGCTCAGGCTTAGTTGGTTCAGTGTCGTCCTGCGCACCAAAAGGTTGCTGGATCGATTCACAGTCAGAACACACGCCCGGGGCTGGGGGGTGCAGGAGGCAGTTTTCCTCTCACATCGATGTTTCTCTCCCCCCTTTCTAAAAAAATCAATAAAAATATTTTTTAAAAGAAGATTATTTACTTAATAGTTATTCATGGAATGCTTTACTTAATAAGAATATTAAAAGAATACAGTAATTACCTCTTCTAGTGTCTAGCTCTGTTACCTGTACAACTATTTTTAGACTATGCTTGGAACGTGAAGAAATTATTACTGTGACATGGGTGTGGGCCCCTAGCTCCCTTTAAAAGGAACGTATGACTACGTTCAACATTGTTTTGAGAATATGGAAGAGCATACAAAATTTATATGACCTAAAATGGTCATTTATACAGTATCTAGAAACTACAGAATGGAATCTTATCTATAAAATTTTTTTCTTCCGTGATTTCATCTACACTTTAACAATGTTAATGAAAAAATATTAAGACAAGTAGATAAAGCAGAATTTCTTTTAAAAGATGAGCTAACATGACCTCTTAATCTCTCCTAAGAGTGGAAGACCTCTCTAATCTGCTACATATCAATGACATCTTTTTTTTTTTAACCAAAACTAATGAAATCAAGCTATTTTCAATAATAATGAACATGTTTTAAAAATCTGTTTCAAGGCACTATCTTCACAAGATAAAAATGTACAAGACAATCAAGAACCATTAAGTATATAAATGCAAATCACTGATACAGAAACAAATAGTTCCAATTCCATTTTCCCCTAAGACTATTAGTATACTTTTTCCCTTAAAATGAATTTCTATATTAAAAACATAATTTTGAGATCTAAGTAATTTGAATTCATAGTGTGAAACTGCACTTAGCCTATATTTATCATCTAACACTCACTGAGTGACTGCTATGTATATGTGCCAACTTCTGATTGAGGATTCCCAATCTAGTCGGAAATAACGTGGAAGGTAACTGTGAGAACTGGGTACCGACACCAGTGCTCCAAGGTGCCATTCCCCAGGCCTGCTTACCTGGACGCGCGCACACAGAGCCACCGGCCAGTAACGGAGTGAGCGGTGGTTGATTAGAGCAACAAGGTTTTTCACTCCACTGAGTAAACCTTTAAAAGTAAATGGTTTTAGAAACAAACAAACAAACAAACAAAAAACCAAGGCCACCAAAATGCCATGTTCTCAAATGCCAGGATGTTTTGTTCCCTTCTACCTGACAACTTCCTCTCTCTTTGCTGGTAGATCAAGTTGCTGGCCTAGCCTGGGAAAACCCTCACCCTATGTACCTCATTAAAAATTTTAAAAGATTTTTTACTTTATTTTACTGATTTTTAGAGAGAGATGAAGGGAGGGAGGAGAGAGAAACATCATCGTGAGAGTAGAACATCGATCAGCTGCCTCCTGCAAGCCCCCTACAGGGGACCCAGCCCCAATCCCAGGCATGGGTCCTGACTGGGAATTAAAACAGGATGGGACAGCGCCCAACCAACTGAACCACACTGGCCAGGAGTGTACCTCAATTTTTAAATGTGGCTACGAGGACACAAGTATTGCAACAGGGGAGGAGAGAGTTGGAGAGGGAGAGGAAGAGAAAGAGTATGTGTGTGTGTTCATATATTCATCCAACCTTTTTTAAAAAGTCTTCACTTAGGCATACATGTAGGGACAATGATTTGTACGTATCTGTTTTTGATTTCTTTTATTTTTTTTAAATATATCTTTATTGATTTCAGAGAGAGGAAGGGAGGGGGAGAGAGACAGAAACATCAATGATGAGAAAGTCGTCACTGATCGGCTGCCTCCTGCACGTCCCTGACTGGGGATCGAGCCTGCAACCCAGGCATGTGCCCTGACCGGGAATCGAACCTCGATCTCCTGGATCCTAGGTCGATGCTCAACCGCTGACCATGCCCGGCCGGGCTTGATATCTTTTCTAAATGCCAGAGTATAAAACAAACAGAATTATGTGCATGAACACTTCTATATATCAAAATAAGGGTGAAAGGCAAAGTATAAAACATTAAGCTTCTGGGTTAAGAACTCTTTAAAAAAATCCAGATAATCTGAAATTGTTATTTTCTTAATCTCTTATGCAGAGAGCAAAAACATTACCTGTTTAATGAAAATTTTTTAAAAGTTAATATTTGGCTAAAGTTCCATGTCAACATAAAATCACCAAGAGGGTAGTTAAACATTATCATAAAATGTAAGCTCTGAATTGTTCCTCTACTTACAAAAGTTAAAGTTCTAATAAAAAGCTAAATTATCTCTTCAGTTTATTATGTAGTAACTTGCACTAAGAGTTATTATTTAGCTTTTAGAATTTCTAACTCATATATTACAAAGACCAAGTACAAACTTGCTAAAAACTAGCATTAGCTGCTGCTGGTTGCTGGCTAAATAAAAAGAGCTTCAAATGTTAAAAATAAATAGGGGGAAAGTTGGTCTAAGCTGGTCAAAATTAAAGCAATATAATTATAACAAAAAATGTAATTTCATTATTTTCAAATGTTAAGAACATTTAATAAAATGTTGCCAAAAGTACAAATATGCTGAAACTATCTCAATAAGAATGATTTGTAGTTAGCCAAGGATGTTCTTTGTATTTTTTTTTCACAATTCCCAAATAATTCTTTAACTCACATCCATGCCAAAGTATACCTTTTTGTCTTGCTTTGGCACAGTGATCACTGATAACAGTGAACTTAACTGAGATCTTAGATCAATAGTTTTACTGCTGAAAGAGAAGTATTATAGAGAAGAGCACAGTGATCTGAAATTGTTTTCACGGTCATTCCTTTTTGATTTCTACAACTCATGTTTCCTTTCATGCACTCACCATCTCAAACTTATCTGGAGGCTAAGACTGGTTTAAGTCTCTAGTATCCTCATGGTTTCCTTGATTCACTCTACTTTATCACCATTAATATTAATTTTTATAAACCAATGCTTTCATCAAGTAAATAGAATTCACATGCTTTCAAAACTAAATAGCATAGTGTGTAAATTTCAATATATTCTGTATCTTAATTGTCTGGAATCCTTAAATAGTAGAGTCAAATTAATCTGAATTAATGTATTACAAAATGTATGGTTATAGAACAAAGGGTAGTCAAGTAAAAATTTTGACCAAAGTGTTGCTTATTATTAAATATTTGTAAAATGTAGGTGTTTCATTTATAAAAAGAAATTCAATATCAAAGCATTTAATATCAAAAATAATTTTAAGGATAAAATTTTACTTGGCGGTAAAATAATCTAAAATAGCCTGTGACAAATGCCCATGGTTATAAATAAAAGCATTTGTCATCTTACTGTTTGTGTTTATAGTGAGCTAACAATGTTGAAAAAGTACAGTATGGCTTAGGATATACAAGGGTGGGTTTACAACTGTGAGAATACAAACAAAGAATTTATTCTTGTACTATTATTTGTTAATTATTGTATTATTTGCCATAAGAACAATGGTAAACCTATTCTTGCCCACTCCTGTATACTCTCATCCTTTCTTTGCAGAACTTCAGAATAAATAAAAATAAGTGATTTCAAATGAAACTATGAATCAGTTTAAAATACAAAAGCCTTTGGAAAGTAGGATACATTTGTAATACTATTAATTCAACACTAATAAAAGTCTAATGACACAAGAAAACATAGTTTTGGTTACCTCTGAAGTAAACTTTGTCCTTTCAAAATCCGTATAAGTTTTAATGCTTTCTCTTTTCCAACTCCAGGGACTCCCTTTGAGGAAGCGGGAAAAGAAATTCAAATGTTAATCACTAGGAAATAAATCAAGTACAGTAAGTCCATTCAATGAAGATTGTGCAGCTGAAGGAATGAGGCAGCTACAGTAACTATGCAATGACAGGGAAAGAAGTGTGAGATACATTGCTGTAAGATGAAAACCCAGAATAGCCTACTGTGTGATCTAGCTTGTAAGTTAAGTAACAATTACAGTTAATTCATGAAGAAAAGTCATAGGGTTACACACCAAATCACTGACAGTGTTTATTTTAGGGGAAGGAAGAACACAATTTTAGAGGGAATTCACTTTCTTTGTGGATTATTTGGATATTTTTATTTGTCCTAATTTTATGTTATATTTATAATCAGGAAAAAGCATGTTCATTTAATGATATGAACATTTAATATTTAAAGACCAGATGTCAAAAGTTCCAAGTCAATGAAATGAATAACTTAAGAGAATTAAAACAAGCTCCAACCCAATAAACATATATTCACATGACAATCTCTGGTTTGAGTCTTCCAGTTCTTATTAACGTTTATTAGTATGTTCTTATAAGCAAGGCTGCTGTTTAGCCAGTATGCACGGTGATAGGCATACAGGAGTCAAAATACTCCCTAAGCATCCTGAGTGCCTGCTGTCAAACCCTCTAACCTGAATCCCCTTCCCAACCCACCAAGATCCTGCTACTAAAATGGTAGCACATGGCACAACAGAGGGCAACCACAGGCCTATGTCTTTGGCATACCAGTTGCCAAATATTTTGTATATCACCCTTCTTATATTAGCATTTAGTTACATCCTAAATTTTTTGATGACAAATCATGTTAGTACATAGTCTTAACAATCTTTAAGTAGAACAATATAAACAGATGGCATCTTTTTTTTTTTTTTTAAAGGAGGGGTCTTGTCCTTAACTGACCCTTGTTTTGCTGAAGAAGGAAATCCAAATTCCACAGGGAGCCGCTCACTCTCACCTTATCTGTTTTTAAAAAGGCTTATGATACTTTAGAAAGTTTGAAAATCACAGCTTTGGAGCAATTTAACTTTCCCATGCTGGACAGAAACGGCAGCCTTATTGCACCTCTGAAAAAAGAACAGTCCTTAGAAAAGGTGATCTTAGGGATGGAGACCAGAAATAGAGGGGGTCCTCAGATGCAGCTTAACAGCAGTTGACAATGAACTGGAACTTGATTTGAGATTTTGGGGCCTGAGAGGCTTCGATAGAGGGTTTTTGGTGAGAGTGATGGAGGTTTTGGGGACAATGATGGGGGCATGTGGGGATCAGTAACAGATGGTTAGTACTTGATGGCAGTTTTGGTTATGAAGGATACAAATGTTCAAAACAGCTAAAGGTAATGCATAATGTAACACCACTGTAGCTAAGGGTGGTTTCTGTGAGTTTGCATTTTTTTTCTTACATTCAATATTGGGCTGCTTCTAGTCTTCATGGTATAATAATTATGTAAGGGAAATAGACATTTTCTATTTCAGAATTACAATTATAATAAAATAATTATTTTTTGTGTTATTTAAAAGTTTCATTCCTCCTGCTTCCTTTACTTCTTAGTTTAAAAAAAAAAGGTGATTTCTCTGTCTGGTCACTGATGACATAAATCAGAAATTAGGGTTAATAATTTGATTTCCCTGCTATTTTTTCCTCTCTCCCAAGCTCTCACTAAAATAAATTATGTGTGCTCCTTCTCTAGATGTGGGGATAGAGTACAGCGTACAGTATAATGAGGGTTCATCTAGAAGAGATGATCAGTAGGGACATAATGGGACTAAACAATAAGAGTTATAATACAAGTTATTTTATATTTTTAAATATGGTATTTACCCTTGTAATTCTTAATTCATCACTCACTTATTATGCCTATTTGTTCCAGAGTACTCTATTGTGCATCTTAAGATATAAATAAAAGGTTTCTGAACAAAATTCAATGCGATGCTATGGGGCATGGAAGGATGAATGGCTTACCCCAATAATCATGTAGCCTAGCAACAGTAATAACAACACTGAGCATGTGCACAGCAGGGAAGCTAAAGACTGAAAACCAAATAAAAGATAAAACAGTGACAGAAACTAACAATGGTGTGATACAAGAGTAATTCCTCTATCTCTTTAAAAGGGTATTTGAACTAGAATGTGAATCTCTTAATCTAGAGCAACAGTTTAGGAGATCTGAGCTGTGATAGCAGTTATTATTCTATTCTCGTTTACAGCCTTCAGTGTCACGGAGAGCCTGCTTTTTAATGCTGCTAGAAATGCTGATTATTTTAGTTAAGGAACAGTTCCCTATGCCTGAAATGGTATTCTAAATTAGATCCCTAATCACACAGCCACATCGTATTCACGCTTACGCAGGTCACATGGAATAACCCCCCCACTGTGACTGATGAGCAAACACAGCAACCTCAGCGCACCTTCGGGAGATAGTCGCAGCCGAGCAGCACTGCCAGGCCGACCAGCGCCTCTCTATCCAAGCCCAGCTCATTCTTGATGGATGACGCTGTGTAAGAGTCAACATGCGGGTCCTATAGGAAGTATACGTTTACTTAATCTCTGAAGAGTAAGCATTTATACACTGAACAGCATTACCAAACACGTGCCAAAGGTGTCTCTAAATGTTTAATTATCCCTAAAAGTTTAAATAGGAAAATTGTCCTGATCACCAGAATCTTCACAGAATCCAACACTTCAATACCTAGAAATAAAGCCACAGCTTCAAAAATGGCTAAACATTTCATTATCCAACTTTTTCCTCTTTATTGCTTTATGTATACAAAAGTAGATTTCCTTCTTACAAAATTAAACACTGTAAAATGCATATTACTGAAGCTGCTGGGGAAGCTGAAGCCATGTGCACAACTGCATCTTCTAAAGTTAACATTATTAACAGTGTAGTGTATATTCTTCCCAAATACCTTTTCTTTAACACGTATACAAGTATTTATTAACTATATTTTAAGTAAAAACAGTATTATATAAAAAAACTATTTCGCAACATTTCTTACCCACTAACATATCTGTGTGTCTTTAATGTTAATACTACGTACCGTTTTGATAACTGCTTATTTTTACACTGTATCAACTCTGAGGCAGTGCTTCTCAATGGGGCACTATTAGCATTTTTGGAGAGATAACAGAATTCTCTGGCAAGAGGTTCAGCTGTTCTGGCTCCAGTCTGCCAAATGTCTACAGCCCACCTGGAATAGTTACAACCAAAATGTCCCCTACTAGTACCTCCCTAGCTGAGAGCCATGGCTGTATTTAACTATTCCCTGTCAGTGGGCATTTGGGTTGTTTGCCAACTTTTTGGAACTACTCACAATGCTGCAAATAACATCCTTGTATATTTCTCCTTGCGTATTTGGAGGTGTTTTTGAGGATAAATTACTAATAGAAATTCTGGGTCAAAGCAATAGATTTCACATGCAATTTTATAATATACTGTTCAAACTAATTTAGAATTAAAGCATGTGAAACAAGTGAAGCCCTTAGGCAAGAAATCCACATTTCAAAGAGAATGAACTATGTGGCAATGATATTTAATAACATTAATAAGCATTTTATTTAGCCATTGTTATGTTCCAGGAATTATAGTAAGCATTTTACATACTTTTTTTCTCCCATTTAATCATTTAATAATCCCTTTAAAAAATCAGTTTGTAAATGCTGAAAAGAGAAAGAAAAAAAATACCTTGGTATTCATAGTGAAATTCCTATAAACAGTCTGGGCGCCGTAAAGGAAAGCATCTCCATCATTGGTGAGGCAGCCATCCACATAACCACTGGCATTGAGGTAAGCACACATGGCTTCAGCTTCCCCAGCAGCTTGGACCCAGGGAATTCCTAGGCATTCCAGCAATTCAACACACTGAAAAGAAAAAATAGATGCAAGAAATCTAAGAACATTCTTATTGTTAATTTTTTCATTTACTTTCTTATCTTACAAATGTTAACAGTACCTATTTAGGTGTTTTACAAATTATGATACTTAAGAAACAATTGGAAATTTGAACACTGAATATTTTATGACATTAAAGAATGACTGCTGAGCTTTTAGGTGTGGTAATTTTATTGTGATTGCTTTTATTTGTGTTTTAACAGTCTTTATTTTTCAGACAAAGGTACTAAAATATTGAGAGTGAAAAAATATTATATCTGGGATTTGCTTCAAGAAAACAGGAAATTAAGGGAGTGGGGGGATAGATGAAAGAATATTGGCCAAGAGCTAATTACTGTGTAAGCCTGATGATGGGACCCAGCCAGTGTGGCCTAGTGGTTGAGTGTAGACCTATGAACGAGGAAGTTACAGTTCGATTCCTGGTCCAGGTACATTCCCAGGTTGTGGGCTGGGCATGCAGGAGGCCGCCGATCAATGACTGTCTCTCATCATTGATGTTTCTCTCTCTCCGTCCCTCTCCCTTCCTCTCTCTGAAATCAATTTAAAAAAAACATATTTGAAAAAAAATTGATGGGTTACTTTTGCATTGTTTTAAAATTTTCTGTAATAAAAAATTAAACATTTTTAATGTTCATTACATAATCCATATTCAATTTTAAAAATTAACGTAAAAATTACTTTTTAAAAAGTAATAAAGCCCTAGCCAGTTTGGCTAAGTTAGAGCATCGGCTACGGACTACAGGGTCCCAGGTTCGATTCCAGCCAAGGGCACGTACTTGGCTGAAGGCTCTATCCTGGTCCTGGTCAGGGTGCATGCGGGAGGCAACCGATCAGTGTGTCTCTCTCATATCGATGTTTCTCTCCCTCCCCTTCCACTGTCTCTGAAAAGCAATGGAAAAAGTATCTCCAGAAGATAGTAAGAAAAAAGTAATAAATAGTCTGTGTTCATTATTTTGATCAGTGGTATCTCAAGATTCTGGAAATATATGTAAATTATTAATAATTAATCACATTAAGATTTACATCTGTAAAACTACAGAAATCCTTCTCACATGATGCTGTCAACCTAATGTGAGTTCTTCTAAAGATGCTACCAAACAATGTGGCTTGAGGCTTGAACTTCTCTTCCTCATACCATTTCTTCCAGATAATGAAGCTCCAGATGGCGGGAAACCAGAGGGGTCAGTTGATGTTCCTAGGAAGTCAAATGTCTGCGCACAGTGTTCCTATCAATTTGCTGATGCATAAATAATCCTGTGAGTTTTCTCTGGATTATGAATTTAACCCAACTAGGCAGCATATACTATAGTCTTATGTCCTAGTGTATTTTTTCTTGTTATGTGTAGTTCTCAAATTCTATCACCGGGGAAGATTGGGTATGGTCAAGAATCGAGGCCACTGTAGCTTGAAGAGACAGACAGATCAAATATCATCCCTGTTGCTTTAACTGATCAACTGCTTGCATGCTGTATTACACAAGAAAAATCTCTGCGAGATGTTGCCCAAGGTGGACAAGGTTCAAAAAGACAAAGTACTATGTTGACAAAGAGGGTACTTTTCAGGAGACAGTTTTGTTACGGGTACTGTTTTATTGCAAAACCCTAGTTGCTATGACCTTCCTCTAGATAAGAAGTATCCTTTCATAATAAACAAGAGTTTAAAATTTATTCAGATTCCTGTGCCGTATGTCATTCCAACTCTTTTCAAAAACCAGCTTAGAATTTGTGATGAGGTTGGTTGTAAATTTCCCTACCCTCAGTCTGTCATGTAGGGTGGATGTGGTGTTAGGAGGCTAATTTGTACTTTTCATGCTTATACCTATCAGTTGGCAGTGGATTAGGAGGAAGGAGGGCTTAACAAAATGTCTAAGAATACCACAATTACTGCAATAAAGAATAGAGGAATTTTCTCAAAAAGAGATGGACATCATTATGCTTTATACGGGGTATATAATGCTCTAAGTATGTGGACCATGGTTATTTTCAGGAACTGATTATAGAATAATTAGAATCCAGTACAGATATTTTCTTCAACTATCGATAGTCATTAAAGTGGAACAGTCGCTAATTAAAAACTATTTTTTTTAAAAACCACCTAGGAATAAAAAAATAGAATTTCAGGAGAAAATGATTACTAATTTATGCAATGCCTTTTCAAAGAAATAACAATTTTAACCATAATTGAAAAGAAAAACAGGGACATGAATTAACAGCAAATATGATAAAAAGTTTATATCCTCAACACATAAAGAACTTGAACAACGAAGAAGAATTAAAACCTCAAGAGATAAGTGGGACAAAGACATGATGGACTTTATCCATTGAGGGACTAAAACTAGGTTAAGTGTTTAACCTCACCATTAAAAGACCAATACATATTAAACATGAATTTATGTATTTATATGTATTACATAAGCAAAGACATATCTTTGATTTTGAACACTAAATAATACAAAGATAAATCTCCTATCATTCAGTGTTCTTATGGGTGCACTGAAATTGCTTATCCTAAGCTTTGGTCTATCTATCCCACTTTGGGTAATTTATCTTAAAATCCCAAATCATAAGAAAAGGCTACATACACCAAAAATGTTCATCGTAATTTCACATATAATGGAAGAGCTGAGAAGTAAACAATATATACAATGATTTCATAGCCTCACACATGTTGCATAACCATTATAAGAGAATGTGGCAAGAGGGAAATATGGATACAATATGTTAAGTGAAAAGTCCAAGATAAAAATTATTTATGGCCCTGGCCTGTATGGCTCAGTGGTTAGAGTATCAGCCTGTGTACCAGCTGGTGGAGCACGCTGGAGGCAACCAATCGTTGTGTCTCTCTCACACAGATGTTTCTCTCTCTCTCCTCCCCTCCCTCCCTTCCACTCTCTCTAAAAATCAATGAAAAAATATCCTCAGGTGAAAATTAAAAAACAACAAAAAATTATTTATGCACTATTATGGCAAGTTTTAAAAACATATACATTTGAAAAAAACCAAAATAGTATCTTCCTATTGTTTTAATAATATATTTTATTTTATGGATTTCTTAACTTTTATAAAAATACATAACATTTTGTAAGTAATATGTATTTAAATATAATAATAAGTACTTTTAAAACTTATAAAACCCCAAGGAAAGCCAAGTATGTTGTATTCAATATATGACCTATCATCAGTCCTGAATGAGTGAAGCATGAATTAATAAGATCTCTGTTCTGGGAATTCTTTAAGTGGTAAAGATGCCATAAAAGGTAACATGTATCAAGTCCCTACTATATACTTGTTGCTTTAGATATTAGATAGTTTCTCTAATTTTCACCACATCCCTACAAAGTATTACTACCCTCTATTTCATAAAATAGGAAATGAGGCAGATATAAATTAAAAACTTGCAGAACACCTTAGAGTTTCAACATGCCAGAGCCAGAACTTGAACTTGGGTCAGTTTCACCCCCAAGTATAACCTCTCTTCTCCATCTACACTGGCTTTCTTTATACAATAAGGTTAGTGAGTATTAAAGGTAATTGTATAACAATCTTTACCAGGGTAAAATGTTCTAATTGAAATCGGAATTATTAAATCAGATTCAAATGCTCACCTCTCTTAACACTGATTTAAAATGTGATCTCCCTGTTGTCTGAGACCAAGTTTTTCCAGAAGACCCATACCGAGTCTGATTCCTTCTGTTTATGACATCAGCCTTCAGCTTTGGGGGTTCCCCTTCTATAACGAATACCAGTTTTACATCCATTAGTGTTAAATGTGAGATACGAAAAAATAAGTTCCTAAAATATAAAAATTAGTAATATGTTAATCATCATATATTGATAGCAAAAGTCAATTACAGCAGTATGACACTGATGGCAAGAACATCAGACTAGTACCTAAAAGGTTACATGCAATAACATTTTATTTATATTTTATCTTCACTGGACTGAGAAATCACTGAATGTTTCTTTGCTTTTTAAATGTTTTTAAGCAAGGGAGATTTATGATTATGTTAATTGCTATGTGGAAAATGGTCTGGAGGAGGAGGCGGCAGCTAAGAGCTGAGGGAGGGAAGCCAGTGAAGATGTCTTTCAGCAGTACAGGTAGAGATGACCGTGGCATACACTGAGGTGGTGCCTCTGGACATTGAGTTGTTTATGGACAAACACAAAAGTTTATTTTGGAAATATAACTGGAAAGACTTCCTGATGGATTGGACATGGGGCAAGGTAAAACAGGAAGAGAATGGCTCCCAAATTTCTGGTTTACAGTCATCCAAGCATGCAAGTAGATATGTTAAATGGGCATCTAGGTATGTGAGTCTGGAGCTCAGAAGGTTAATAGGTACAAATTTGTGAGTCATCGATATACAGATGACAGATCTAGACATGTTAATATTTTAAGATCTCACAGCCAAGACATCAACTATTTATGCAATCACATATTTATATTCTAAGAGCTTTTACTGTACCTGAGATGGGGCTTTTCGACTATTCCAATCATTTTTTTGACTGCCTGTGCTTCACATACCCAGAGGCTCAGATCAACAGCAATAGTTTTCCCACAAAGGCTGCTCAAGTGGACGTGTTGCTTAATAGGCTCCAAAATTTGCCACAAGTCATTCACTCCCATTCTGGGTATTATCTGCTGTTGTTTGAAACGCACTTTTCAAAAACTGTTAATAGACACAGTAGCTCAGAATAAGAATTCAAGCAATGTATTACAAGCTAGGTAAGAGTAATTCATAAATGGGTTATTCTCCTTATTTCCTTCATTAGTCAGCTTTTTGGAATGAACCAAGAACACCTAAATCATTAAAAATGGCGGTAAATGACATACTGGCTACAAAATGCTGATGCAACTAACGAATTAAAAGTAATTTGGATGTCAGCAAATACAGGTTTCTCTACAGTACCGAAAACGTTATTTTTTAAATTTAATAAAACTCAAGCCCCAGTGGCCCCCTTGCCCCTCCCCATTCCTTCCTCCTTTGTTACACCCTCTTTAGCAGCGGCTGAGAATAAAATGTTTCATATGGTTACCTTAATATTGCACGAAATTTAGAGAATAAAAAATTACCAAAAAAATAATAGTGGTAATTGGCTTTGTTCCAGCAAATAACAAGAGCTAACAAATGCAAGATGTGTAGAAATGCAGGGATGCTGTAAATCATATTTATCTTCTTGAAAATTCACTCCTTGGTTTTCATACCTACAGGGGGAAGAAGACCAGCCTCTATCACGATCAGGAAAAACAAAAAAACAAAAGCAAGGAAGCAAACAAATAAGCAGACGCACCGGAGAAAACAGTAATAGGTTAATGACGAAATACTTTCATGAAGACAGAAAATCTGAGCTAGAGGAACATGGAACTATCTTTTTAAAGAGCGTTGACTGGCTTTTTAATTGCAAGGTCCCACATGTTCATTGTGGAAAAATAAAATCTTTAAAAAAGAAATTTTTAAATCACTTAGAGTTCCACTATCCAAAGAAAACTAACGTTAAACTCTTTTCTATGTACATGATATTTAAAAAACAAAACTGGCTTAAACTCTGCTATTGTAACCTCTTTGGTACTTTCTATAAGACAGTTTTTCCTTATTAAACATCTGTATGTTTTTCTTTTCCTTTGTTATTTGATAAAAATATTGCGCAGCATTTGCAATGATTCAGTCTGACTATACAAATATAATCCAGGTTATCATCCTCTGAATAATGGCCTTACTTCATTCTAAAAACACAAGGTTTGATATAAAAAAAATTAAGTCAAAAGCCTATCACCATAATGCAGAGCCATTCTAAATAAAAAGTACTATGTTGTCTGTTCCTTTGACAGAGTTCATACTGAAATCCAATCTCAAATTGTACAGGGCTGAAAAGAAAATAAATGCTGGCAGTGTTGCTACATCAGTCATCTTCTCTGAGCTTTTCTGAATCTTAATTTTATAATGTGGCCAGTGCCACCTAAGTATTATTTTGTACAAGCATTTTTATGAAGAATTGCACAAATATTTGCTGATACTTCAACATACAAAGAAAAACACACAGATTTAAACACACAGAATTAGGTAGTTAATGGTGGCTCAGTGCTAATATTGTCTATTTCACATCAAGAAGCCCCACTGGCTGAATGCACACTGTAGCATAGATTCAGAGTTAAGGATTCATCTGTTAATGTGAAAAACTGCACATAATTCTAGAAAAAGAGTGACAACACATACATTTTCTAAGGCATTATTATGAAGGGAAGCAAGACTTTTAAAGTATTAACCACCAGAACACACACAATTTTTTTAAAATAGAAAGTTTGAGAGGGAAGCTCTTGTTAAGTTTTGCTTCCCTTTTATTTGTGAAGCAAGTTGGATACTGGAATGAATTGTTATTGAAGGAAATTATGCAATTCTTCTCTCTGGAGGACAATTATCATAACTGATCTTATTTTAATGAGACCTTGACTCTAGCTGTCAAAATTTTAAATACTGGTATCTTCTGATTTAGCAATAGCTCTCCTAGGAATTTATTTTAAGATACGCTTCTAGGTGTGTGCAGATTTATGTACAAGGATATTCACTGCAGCATGGTTTTGTTTTTTTTAAATCTTCACTGGAGGATATATTTTTACTGATTTTTAGAGTGAGTAAGGGAGAGAGAGAAAAACATTGATCAGCTGCATCCCGTACATGCCCCAACACGGGATGGAACCCACCACCTAAATATGTGCCCTGACCAGGAATCGAGCCCACGACCCTTTGGTGTACAGGACAAAGCTCCAACCAACTGAGCCACCTGGCCAGGGCCACCGCAGCATGTTTATAATATAGTAAGACACTGGGGAAAAACAAATGCCCATCAATACAGGATACATCTCTAAGTAAACTATGGTATACTGAAACAGTGGAATAGGTGATGCAGCAAATAAAAATGGTAAAGATCTATACATACTGGCCCTGGTTGGCTAGTGCAGTTGGTTAGAGCATTGTCCCCAAACACCAAGGTTGCAGGTTCGATCTCTGGGCAAGGTGCATATAGGAATCAACCAATGAATGCGTAAATAGGTACAAAATAGATTATATATTAGGATGACTGAAGATGAGGGATGAGAAGAATTACTCTTTAAAGTATATTCCTTTGTGTTTTTTATTGTTTTAAATAACCACATGCATGCATTACTTTTCAAATTAAAAAAAAGGTTAGAAAATGTGGTCCTATCTATAAAGGGTTGGGAAAATAAACTGAAATCTTTAGATGGGTCATTTCTTGCCTAAATATTAAGTGGGTCAAATTAAAAAGTAATGTTCTCCCATATAAGCCAGAGTGATCTTGTTTAATAACCTCAAATATTAAAATCATCATCTCTCTGGGAATGGACATTGAATTTCCTTAAAGGTGACACAGACTCTGTCACAAGTTAATTTATTCCTTCAAACATGGTGCTACCTTACAGCCAGTTGTAAAAGGCAAAAAAAAAAAAAGAATTACATGTGTTATAAATGTAATTTAGAACACTCTTTAATGTAATTTAGTGTGTAATTTAAATGTAGTTTAGAACATTCTTTTAAAATACTACTTTAGAATGATCTTCAGTAGATCTAAACTTAAGTTGTCTAATTTCCTTTTGAAAATCACTTATGTTCCTTATGAAAATCATTCAAAAAAGCAGAATGATAAAGAATACTTGAATAGTTTTGAAAGGATAAAAATTATGTGAAATGTCCATTTTATGAAAAATAACACCGTAACATATTTTAAGAAGGCAGTTAATACAAACCGTATTCTATTGTTTTATTCCTAGTCACTTTCTTTGCACCAGTTCTTCCTCTGAAGTGACATTAAGTAGCAAGAATGTAAAACCATATAAAGCTCCCAAAAGGGACAGAATGCAACAGCTTTTAAGATATTCAAGTACAACTACATTCAAAGATAGAACAGACAGTTCTTGCATGAGGTCATGATCAACCTGATGTGATTACTTGAAAATAGCTCAGCATTAAGTAAAACTTAAAAACATCACACATATCAAACTCATCCAAAACTATGTATAATTTTGCCTTGTTTTCTGTTTTTTTAATTGGGTGAAATTTGAAATTTTTGTGGTGTGAGATTTGGTCTCTACCCATATCTTTCATTATGTTATACCTTTATTGATGCCAATCTGATCATGCAGTCAATGTATTTTACATATAAAAAGAGTCTCCTAACATATTCACAATTCTTAAGAATTAGTGTGACACGATTACTTACGTGAATCAACCAAGTCAGAATAATCCATAACAAATAACTTATAACTTATTGGTGGCCTCAGTTTATTTAGTTTAGTAAAAGGAGCACTGAGCTTGGGATAGGAAGCCTAGGATTTTGGTTTTGGATACAACAGCGACTAGCTGTATAATCTTGGGACGACATTTAACTGATCTCCAAAGTGAAGGGTATTAACAAGACAAATTACAAGATTCTGATATCCTTTGAATTTCATGACCAATTTTAGTAGCTTGGTACTAAAAAAATCAAACAAAAAAAACCCCAATCACTCTATTTCAGATATTCTTGCTTGGAAGAAAAAACATGAGTTTCTAGGTTAAAGAAAGTGCTTAAAATTCACTTCAGGTTAAAACAAAAACAAACCCTTTGATGTAACCATATGGTGTCCATAAATCAATTTATGCTCCTAAAACTTCCTTAAAAGCTAATAACCTTTTATTGGTTAATTATAAAACTGAATGAGGTGAGAAAAACACAGAACCTTGCTAATTCCACTAATGAATCAAATTTAAAAAACAAAAAAAGGTCTGTGGTTTGGTTTACGTGAAAATACGTTTTATTAAACCAACCGTTTTGCAATTTTATTTCAGTTTTAAGCAAAAACATTACAAAACTTATTCTAACAATGCAGAAAATACTTCATTCCCAATTTAGATGACCAAAGTAGAGATTAGTAAATGTTGTAAAAGTTTACTTCAGTACAAAATTGTACTGTATGGGAATTCCCACATACTTTCACTAATTAATGCTGTTTTTACATTATTTCATCAGTTTTATTTTCATATGAATTTAGCTTAAACTTTGAGGCATAATATAACCCGGGCTTAACTTTGTTATAAATTAATATTTATTAAATGCCTACTCTTTACCAGAAATTCTTTTAGGTGCTGGAGATACAATAATGAAAGAGCAAGCCCTGCATTTAAGGACCTTAGTAGAGGAAATGAGACAAGCGATAAAGAGAATTATAACAGCGTGCGAGTACAGGCACAGAGGTGAGGAGTGATCTACCCGAGCATACAGAAGAGGCACCTTACCAGCTCCAGGGCATGGGGGAAGTGACATCTAGGCAGACCCCCCCTGCTGAGTTTCCCCTTGTTTACCAACAGGGCCCACTTCAGCTGGATGTCATAGTTTCAGCCTATGTAGACTATGTCACACTTACTGTATCAAGGCGAGGGCCATAACAGATATACAATATGTATTTGATTATCTTTGGAAGTAAAAGGGTGACTTGGATGGAAGGAATTTCACTACTAGACGCGTGACATGAATTTACTTGGGGGTGGGCTGGGGGAGCGGTAAATGCCACTTTTTCCCCATCTGAAAAGAAGGTAGGAAGATGGATTGGCGGGATCAGCACGTCGCCCGAGGAGCTGAGCAAAGGCTTCAGCAGGTCGAGGCCGGGGGAGAAGAGCGCGCGGCCAAGTCCAGGCGCCGAGCGGGCATTAGTCCCGGTATTGACCGAGGGGGGGCGTCGCGCGGGGGGAGAACGGCCGTTAATGCGCAACCATAATGCCTTCAGGGAACTGCTACCACGGAAATTATTTTCAACACAGCACGTAACACCGAAAAAGAGCAACATCGGGGACGGGTAGGCTCGCGCGCGGGAGTCCGCCCCACGGGGCGCCGGG